CTATCTAGCTATGTATCCATCTATCATCTATCTATCTATCTATCTATCCATCAATCATCTATCTATCATCCATCTATCATCTATCATCTATCACTTATGTCGTGTATCCACCCACCCACCCACCATTTACCCGTCTGTCATCTATGGCAGTGGTTCTCAAGTACAGTGATTCTGCACCCCAACGAAGGGGGCATTTAGCAACACCTGGAGTCATTTTCGGTTGTCACGCCTGGAGTGGACAGACCTCCAGGCGCCTGGTAGGTGAAGAGCAGGCCCCTGCTCCAAACCCCGCAGAGCGCAGGCCCCCGACGTCAGCGAGGGGAGTTTGAGTCTCTGCTCTGATGCGCTCGCCTGACCCTTCTCACCTGCACGGCACCTACACGTGCGAGTTTTGCTTCTTTGTAGATCCCCGGGCATCTCCTCTGCGTTGGTCCAAGTTGGTGGCACCCTCTTCCCCTCCGCCCCTCCAGCTTTTGGTTCTGAGCCCATAGCAAGGAACAGAAACAGGGGCTGGAACAGAAAGCGTGACCAGTTGTGTGGCTCCACATGAAGGATGAGCCGCCAAGTTTTCTCCGATTTCTCCTGGGTCGTAACGACCTCTTCGCCCTGCCTGTGTAAACATGGCTCCCGTCAGGAGAACTTGGGGTCCTCGGCCGGGAGTCCGGCCATGTCGAAGCGTCCGCTCTGCAAGCTGCCTGCATGGTTGGGTCGATAACTGCAGGTTTTCGGGGGTGGAGGAGAAGGTGGGGGCTTCTCATTCATCGAGAGAACGCGAGACTCTCCGAGACTGGGTTCGGCAGCCAGGATATTGGGGTTCGTGAATATTAGTGGGGAGTATATCGTATTGGTGGGGAGAGGCCGTCAGCGACAACTCGCTGCTCTAGACGTGGGGCTGACGACATTATGACTGTCCTTCCTCGTGGAAAAGTGCCGAAGTCCCAGGGGATGACATCCAGGCGCGTTGCTACCCCCTCGGACGAGAGGGCCCGTAAAAGTAATTAGTGTTTTGATTTCGCCCGGGGCTGGGCACATGATGCTTTACATAATTACGGAGCTTCATCATCAAAGAGGCTCAGGAGATCAAGGAGCACGGCCTCCCGATTTCAAAGGAAATAGCACAGAATAGTTTTCAATGTATAGCTGTTCCTCTTGAGAATGGATGATGCCGTTGCTTTCAGCGGGGCTCTTTAAAAAGAAGCTTGCAGTGGACATCGTCACTCCTGTCTTTTCAGAGTCAAAAAAAAAACCCCCAAACACTTTTTTTTAGTGGCAGATAGCATTGTGTAAGTTTAAGCTGATATATGCAGTAATCATGTGTATGTGGTAATCATGTTGCAATGGCTGCATACATCATAACAATTTGAAATATGCACTCATTGCAACATGCTTACCACAACGAGGTCAGTCGACACAAAACGGGCTTGTTAGTCCTTTGCACCGAGTGTCTCGCGGTGGAGAAGTTACCTGCTTGGCAGAAGTTCTCAGCGGATTCTTTTTTCCCGTAGGTCACAGAACGAGGGACTATGAGACCGACCACCTTCTCTGACTGGTAAGTGGCAGCTTCGTGAAACTTATTCTCTCCATCGAGAGAGCACGGTTCTCGGCGCACGTCTTGTCCACCCTGGCTTCTGTTCGCTTTGCTTTATCATCCGAAAACGGTCATGGGGTGTTGTGTCGGGGGATGTGGATGGAAAGGGTCGGAGAGATGGCTTTTCCGAGGGAGCAAAATGCTTCCCTCAGGGATGACGACGCATACGCGAATTCACAGGGCAAAAGGCAGGAATCCGGAGACGGAGGCTGCACTGGAATCCAATGGATTCCAGGGAATGTGGTAGAAATTGGGGGGAGGCCCAGGGACGGGCCAGCGGTGCACGGGGTGGTGACGAGACAGCGTGACAGCAGCCGAGAGGTCAGTTGTGGGACGCTCGACCAGCACGTTGGCGGCTGGGGCTTTAGTGCCGCCCGCGGGAGGGTCGCGAGCAGAGTTGTGTGTTTATGGGGTTGCTGTGCTTCGTTGCGTTTTCGAGGGGCCGGGAGGTGAGTGTGAGAACGGCCGGGCCAGCCGGGATGGAATTGGGGACACGAATGGATTTAAGAGACTTTTTGTTTTCGAGGTCGAACTAAGAAGCATGGGAATGGGTCGGAGGGCCTTCGGGTCGGGGAAGCAGTTTGCCGCGTAGACTCCGGTCCCCGGCTAGTGCGATCATCTCTCGGTGGGGGCCGTTTGCTTTGTCCCCGGCACAGGACAGTACCCAGCATGGACGTGTGCATCCACGACTCTGCAGCTTAAAATTTTGCAGGGTATTTCAAAGTGGTCAACTTCCTTTTCCAGACGTTAAAAGAATTTCTAGAATTGTTTTTTTTTTTCGTCTTTGGCTGTTGAGTTTCCCCTACCTCATTTGCTCTGTGGACATGATGGCTTTGAGAAAAAAAGGGAGAATTGTGCAGAGATGTGGGCTCCCCCGGACCCCTGCCTCTGCATCACGTAGTTCTGGGCTCAGACACAAGAAGTTCCTGGTGTCTCTGCTCGCGCTGTCTGGCTGAGAGCAAAATTATGAAGTTATCAAAAGTATTGAAAAGTATTTAAGCTGAGCATTAAAAAAAAAAAAAAGTGGCAAGTAGCCGGCCTAGCTGGCGATCTGCTCTCATTTCTCGTGGATTTCGCGTACTTTTTCATGCAAGCGAATCAAGCGCTTCGGCCTCACACTCCACTCCAACCACTATTATATTTTTTAACGGTTTCGTATTTGAAAATTTACAACAATCTCATGTCACGATGCATGTCATCTTCTTCTGCAGTCACCTAAAGCACGACTTTGAGACGTTCTGTTTTCTGAGTGAGCCACCGCGGGTAGGCCCCAGAGTCGAAACTGGTGAGAAATACCATTTTTTCCTCTCTTGTGTGACCTTCAGGAATCGTTGCCTGTGGATGTCGCTGTGCTGCTGGTTTGGGGGCCTCCACGGCACGTTCGTGACCAGGAGCGCCCGGCCCAATATTGTCCTGTTGATGGCGGACGACCTCGGCCTGGGCGATTTAAGCTGCTACGGGAATAACACGCTCAGGTGAACACTCGTCCGCCGGGAGGTGGCGGGCGCGTCCCGCGGGGTTGCCATGGGGACGAGGGACCATGTCGAGACAGCGGTGACCTCCGAAGTCTCCTTAGTTTGTCATTGCTGCTGCTCTTGTTTTTATGATCGTGGTTAAAAACGTGTGGTTAAATTTACCTTTTCGGCCAATTTCAAGCGAGCGGTTTAGCGATGTCCAGCGACCATCGCCTGGGTCTGGTGCCAGACGTTCTCATCGTCACCGAAAGGCAGCCCTGTACTTCCCAGTGGTCACTCACAGTCCCTCCCCGGCCCCTGGACCCCTGCATCACGTAGTTCTGGGCTCAGACACAAGAAGTTCCACACAAAAACGTGTGGTGGCCCCTGCCTGCGGCCACCACAGATCGGCTTTCCGTCTCTATGGATTTGCCTGTTCTGGAAATTTCCTGTCAGTAGAATCCGGCAGCGTATTAGCTTGCTGCGGCTGCCGGGAAAAAGTCCCCCACGCAGAGTGGCTTGAACAACACAAATTTATTTTCTCCCAGGTTTGGTGACAGGACGTCCGAGATGCAGGTGCGGGCGGGGCCGGTCCCTCCCGGGGCCTCTGTCCTGGGCGTGTGGACGCCGTCCCCTCACTTGAACAACACAAATTTATTTTCTCCCAGGTTTGGCGATAGGACGTCGGAGATGCAGGTGCGGGCAGGGCCGGTCCCTCCCGGGGCCTCTGTCCTGGGCGGGTGGACGCCGTCCCCTCCCCGTGTGCTCACGTGGTCGTCCCTCTGTGTGTGTCTGTGTCACCTCTTCGTATGTGGACACCAGTTCAGAGGTTTTTCATGTCTTGGTTGAATTGTTTTGGCAGCTTGTGGTACCCAGCATGGTCCTTTATTAGCCTGTCCCGCATCGCCACGGAAACCCCGCTCCTGTGACAACACGCGGCCCGTCTTTGCTTGAATTTAAACACTGGCGTTTCGCCTGGCAATGCAGGTGGCTGTGCGGCCTTGCATTGGAAGCGTGTAGCTATAGATCGAAAGGCATCGCTCTGCGGAAAGGCGTTTGGGGTCCGCACAAGCCAGGAATCCAGGTGGACGTTGCTGTCTCGCCGTCCACGGATGCCACGGGCAAGAAAGAAAACTTTCTTCGGGGTTCGTGGTTCGTATAGGGTCGATAAGCAGCGACGCTGCCCGGCCAGACACCGGGAGTGTCGGGGGCACACGAACCCCTCCAGCGCCCTCTCTCCGTGGGGCTGTGAAGCCGTTCGCGTCGCGCTAGGATTAAGTCCGTTTCAACTCATGGACGAGCAAAGCGCCGTTTGCCGCCTACCGTTTAGGGGTCCTATCTATTTATTTATCGTCGTCAGGAATTCGGCGAACCGGAAATATGAGACACACGAGATGGGAAATACGCTGAGTTAAAAAACGCCGCGATTTAGTATTGAAAAAGACAGCTTTTCCTGCGGGGGACACAGTCACGTTCCCTGGGCTGCACGTTGGCCATGCGTTTTAAGAATGTGGTTAGATCCCGTGAACCGGCTTCTCCACGGAAACGCCCGTCAACGCAGAGTAGCCACTGTCCTCGCTCCTGGCGTCCCGCGTCCGCTGGCGATGGTTTTGCGTGACGGGCGCTGCGTTCCCTGTTGCCTCCTTTTCCTCTTGCGTCTAAGCAGCAGCGCGTCCCCGCGGGCCGCCGGACGGAGGATGCGGAAGGCCGCGTCTTGGGTAGACCCGAAACAGACTCATCTTGACCCCAAACGGAACGGCCGGGAGCCTCGTGCCTTTTGCGGGGAGCCGGGAAACCCGCCTACTGACGTCTCGTTTTTGTCCGCAGCACCCCGAACATCGACCGCCTGGCCAGCGAGGGCGTGAGGCTCACGCAGCACCTGGCCGCCGCCTCCGCCTGCTCCCCGAGCCGGGCCGCGTTCCTCACCGGCCGCTACCCCGTGAGATCAGGTGGGCTGGGGCCAGGCGGGAGCCTTCTCGTGTCACAATCACGCCTCCTTAGGATGTGTTTTCTGCTGCTCTTTAAAATGTCCCTCAAGGTCGCAAGAATCTTGACTCCCAAGGGAAGGTTGCGTGGCTCTGCCTGGGCAGCTTACCCTGGTGTGTCTCTCGCCAGGGGCCGGCGACCTGCTCCCCTGTGTGCCGACAGCGACAGGTTTAGGCCGCCGGTGACTTGTGCCCAGGCTCCCGCGAACACACACCCTCGTTTGTAGGAACCTATCGGAAGACCCCGCCGTGGGCTGTCTATTCCTTAAAGCCGGCAGAGAGCACGGGTCACGGTAGCAACCGGCGTCTGCCCCGTCTCTGGAGATGGGGTCGGAAAGGCAGAAGGAGCAACTGGCAAGAAAATGTGGCTGACAAAGTGGGAAGGGAATGAAAGCCGTACATTTCACTGTCTCACTCACGCACGCTCACGCACGCGCGGACACACACTCACGCGGTTTCAGCCTCTGGGCTGCCCAGGTTCAGAGTCTGGATCACAGCTTAAAATGCCCCCTTGTAGCGTAGCTTACGGTCTGAACAGCCGTGGGGAAGGGACATTGCGGATTTGATTTTTACACCCAGCTAAAACACGGCGATGCCCTTGGCGATTCTCGAGGGGTTCGGGGTCACCGCCCGCTACATGAAATGGCCCCAGACCATTGTGTTTTCATTCAGTCTAGTATCTGCTGGTGGCACGTGTCATATGTCCACCCGTGTCGTTTATTTTTCAGGGACGGTTTTTTCTCTACGAGTTTTGTTTTTTTCTAAGTGATAGCTTCTCATGTGGTAAGGCCCAGGGGGAGAAAACCTAATCAGGTGTGTCGGAATTTCATGAAAATCCGGAGTAAAGAAACTTAGAAAGTCCTTGTCTCGTGGGCTTCGGGATGTTGCCCTGGGTCCTCGTTGCGCGAAGAACTTTCCTCATGATTGAAGGAGGAAACATACGCATCTGCGTGCGTTTGAAAAAAATCATATGGTTCTCAACTTTTCCCGACTTATTCTGCGGGCGTGCCCACCTCCAGGTGCAGCTGCGCTGTCGCACAGGGCAGTGTGTCCTGTTTCTTGACGTCCCACCAGCGTGGCCCTGTGCGTGTGGCCTTTTGGGTGGAGCAGGGCGGAGGCAGACGCACGCTGGGCCACCCGCTCTCGGGGAGCACGCTGACCTTTCCACCCACTGTCCACTTTTGTGGGATTCCTGTCATTTCTGATATTCCTGATCACTGTTATTCAAATGAGCTGTAGACGCCACTGGGTGCGCGTGATCCGGTGCCCGACATGCACACGATAGCTGTGATTCGAAATTTCGGGGTCCCATCCGCCACCCCAGGAGAGTCTTCCTGGGTGACGATTCTCGCCCTGTAAGCGCGTGCCTGTGTCGGGATGATGCGGGCACGTGGGAACTTGCGGGAGGAGGACGGGGCGGCCACACCGAGGATCCCGCGTCCCAGATCACGCACACGAGCGTGAGCTGTATCCCAACTTTGGACACCGATGGGGGAGACGTTGGGACAGGCATGAGTTCTGACGGGGGGTTAGAAGGGCCTTTCTCACGGAGACTGGTAGCCAGGAGAGCAGTGGACGGCACAGCACAGCCCGGCTCAGGCCCCGAGGCGCGTTCTTGGATAGATTGGAGCCCCCAGGGCCTTGGGGTGAGGCGGGGTGAGGAGGGGGACTCAAAGGAAGCCTTGCGTTGCTGGCTCGGGCGCCTGAGAGGGAGGCCGGCCCTTTACTGAGGCGGGTTCGGAGGAGGAAGATGACAGATTCTGCGCTCACCATGCTCAGGCAGGGGTCCTGCCCACGTAGATGTTCCTGAGGCAGCTGAAGATAGGACCCCCACTCCGGGGGGGGTGTAGGGAGCGGCAGAGAGGGGGCTCCTCGCCCTCTAGAAACACGTGATTGAAGTCCAAGGGGAGCGTCTGGTCCAAGACGTCCAGTTAAACTGAGATTTTGAGTAATCGGCGAATACACTTTGGACACAAATACGCGCTACGCAACATTTGGGACGTGACTACACGAAAAAAAAAAAATGCTTGTTCATATGAGGCCCTAACGGGATTGTCTGGCATCGCAGTTTGCCGAGAACACCCACCGTTGGCACGCGGGAGCAGGGGACACGGGGATGGAGTCTGGAAGTTGAAGGGCGTCAGGCTCACGTGGGGGAGCCGGGGCCTGACCCGCTTCTGCTTCTGTGCGTTTAGGCATGGCGTCCGCCGGCGACCGGAACCGCGCCCTGCCCTGGCTGGGGGCGTCGGCCGGGCTCCCCAGCAACGAGACCACGTTCGCCGAACTGCTGCAGCGATGTGGCTACCGCACGGGGCTCGTAGGTACGGCCGCGGGGCTCGGCGCGGGGACGCGGTCAGCCCGGGCCCGGCCACCTCTCTCTGAGACGAGCCGTGTCTTAAGACCAAAAGACACGGAGGTTGGGGCTTCGAGAGGGAGGGCGGGGCGCGGGCAGAAAAGGCCGTTGTGCTTCTCCGCCGCCCTCAGCAGAGGGGAACGTTCCGTCAGGGGTGGGGTGCTGCTTTCATGTCCGAAAAACGAGCGGCTCCCAAAAGGTGTCCTCTCGACCTTGAGAAGCGGACGTGTGAATCGTGATCGCCTCGAGGCAGCGTCTGAGCTGGGTGTGCAGAGCGCCTGTGCCCTCCGCCCTCGGGGACGAGAGGGAGGGAGCGTGTGGCCTGCCGTCCTGCAGGTGTGAGTCTCTCGTGCGACTCCACTCCCGAGACACGTGCCATCAGCAAGTCGTTTTTGAGGTGCCGCCTGCTTGCTGCGTCCCCCAGTGTTAGAATTCCCGGTGTGGATGGTAAGACTGTGACACAGCCTAACATGTCCACAGCAATGTGGCCCTGACAGATTTTGTAAAAGTAAACAAACACGTGTGGGAAATGAGTTCCTCGCTGGTCACGTAGCCCGGGAAGGATGAGATAGGAAAAAATACTTTCTGGAAAAAATACTTTCCAGAAACACACACACACACACACACAGAAAACACACACACAGTAACTAAAAATGTTTATCAAACTACACCAGTGTTTCAAGAACTGTTAGAAGGACTTCTCTAGGAAGAAATAAAAGGCAAAAAATGAGATTAATACATATCAATAACTACATATTGATACACTATTGTTTCAAATGAGGAAAGGTTGCAAGTTCCAATCAAAAGATACAGTGGCTGGATAGATATGAAACTCACTTCCGGTCAAAAGACACACACGTGCTGAATGGAATAAGACAGAAAAGGATACAGTATAAAAATGAAAATGAAAACTGCTTCGAGACGACAGCTGCTTATAGACGACGTCTGGACGTACGCGATTCCTTTATTGGATTTATCGGAGGGGACGTGCGTTCATAAAAGTCTATAAGCAACCGGAAGTCTCGTGCGGCACGTCCCTTTCGCGTGCTGGAGGGCGATGCACGCCCGGCTCACTCACCGTTTCCTCCCCTTGCAGGACAGTGGCACCTGGGATTGAGCTGCGTCTCTCGCGATGACCACTGCCACCACCCCCGGAATCACGGCTTTGACCACTTCTACGGCCTGCCCTTCGGGCTGCTGAGCGACTGCCAGGCGTCGGGCACGCCCGAGCTGCACCGCGGGCTCAGGGTCAGGCTGTGGGTGTCGACGGCGGCCCTGGGTCTCGTGCCCGTCCTGCTGCTTGTCCCCAGGCTCGCCCGCTGGCTGGCCGTGCCGTGGAAGGTCATCGTCGGCTCCGCCCTCCTGGCCGCCCTGTTCTTCGCGGGCTGGTACTCCAGCTACGGCTTTGTCCGGCGTTGGAACTGCATCCTCATGAGGGACCACGAGATCGTCCAGCAGCCGCTGAGAGAGGAGAGGGTGGCCTCGCT